GATCCCATGACCTAGCATCCGCAGCTCGTGGCAATTGCGAAGGTAAACCCAGCTCCGTTGGTAATATTGAATCATGACCATATAGGAGTTTATATGGTGAAGCACCAACAGAACTCTGCACCCCAATGACATATGCATACCGAAGATACGGCAAATAACCATCCCAATCCAAATGCTGAAAGTTCACATACTTCGCAATCATCCCCTTGAACGTCCGAACGAGCCGTTCCACTAGACCGTCTGATTGTGGATGATAAGCACTCGTGAAAGTGTGGCAAATCCCCAACTGAGACGTCAAAACATGAAACACCTCAGCCATAAAAGCGGGACCATTATCCGAAAGAATCCGCTCTGGACAAGAATGCTGGAACACCACTCGATTGAGGAGGAACTATCCAACAGCAGTTGCAGAGGCACTAGCAAGAGCACCAACTTCCACCCAACGAGTCAAATAATCAGAAGCAATAATAACATACTCATTGCCAGCAGTTGATCGTGGAAAAGGTCCCATAAGATCAAACGCCACCAATTCAAACGGACGGGAAACTGCAATTGACTCCAACCGTCCTTTTGCAGTCTGAGGGGGAGTATTACGAGCTTGGCACCAAATGCAGCTACGCACATACCGGATAATATCACGTCGCATTTCTGGCCAATAGAAAGACCTGCGTAGCTTCTCGATTACACGACGATGTCCCATATGCCCACCTAGAACAGGAGAATCATGGTAGGCATGGAGAAACCGCGGAATAAAGATAGAAGGCACCACCAGCCGTAAATGATCATCAGGATCTGTCCCCACAAAATAAAGAAGGCCACCTTCAAGACGATATTGAGAATGTAAATGCCGGAAAGGCAAGTCATCAGTAAGTGATGCAGGATTCTCAAACCCATCTTGAAGCCTTCGAATCCATGGCTCAATCTTTTGAGCCTCGCGAACCTCATCAAGCGAAGGTAGATCTTGCTCTGTACCTTGTGGACACTGAACGTCAAGTATAGCAACCACCGATGGCACAGAATCCTCGTCTAGAAAATCCACAGATGCTGGAACGACTGGCTCGTTAGAAACATGGGAAGAGAATGAAGAAGGAAGAGGAGCTCGAGAAAGGGCATCAGCATCA